TGGTCACAAATGTAACTTATTGCATTTCGTGTATTTTTCACGTGATCGGACATGATATCCGGTATCACAATATCCGTTATCACGGTATATGTTTCGTATCACTTGCAGAAATAAGTAAATCCGTCCATGAAGAACAAGCACAAATTCTGTGTCACGTAGCAGTATCACATAGTTAGTAAGTATAAATGAAATGTACTCACGTAACAGTAGTTTTTCGACTTCCAAAAAATCATGGCAAACACACCAGAAGAATGGCTTGAAAAAGCTATTTATGAGGGACATATTGATAATCTTGAATATAATAAATTCACAGTTCCTACAATGATTGGTATCGGTGGTTTTGGAAAGGTTATTAAATATGGCTGGAAAGATTGTGATTTAATGGTTGCTCTTAAGTGTCTTAAAATCGAAACCGATGTAGGTTTAAATGGAGAAATCATTAAAGATTTTGTTATTACTTGTATTATTTCCTGGTGTAATACTGAATTTCTTTATTAATGACCTGAAATAAAAGCTTAAGTTATTACGAAGAGTTGATTGTCATCCAAATATTATTAAATTCTATGGCGTCACAAAAGGGATACTTACAATTCGTTATTCCTAAATATAAATTAATGAATATTTTATCTGTCGTATTAATTCAATAAATAGATAATAATGGATATTATAATATGGTTTTACAATATGCTGATAATGGAAATTTACGAAAATATTTGAGACTGAATTTTACAATGATACAATGAGCAGACAAATTACAGATTGCAAAGAAATATTACGTGGTCTTTTGTTCTTACACAATAAAAATATTATTCATCGAGATCTTGTAAGTATATTATTTTTATATATTTATGAATTTTATTTGCTGCAATTAATTTTCTAACATCTAACATATTTCATAGCATTCGAAAAATATCTTAATTCATCAAAAACAACCAAAGATTGCAGATTTTGGATTATCAAAACAGATAAAGGAATCATCTATGACTTCAAACTCGGTTGTTCGCGGAATGCCGGCATATATTGAGCCACAATGTTTTATTAAGCAAGGACATAAACGTGATAAAAAATCTGATGTTTATAGTTTTGGTGTCATTCTTTGGGAAATTTCAAGTAGAAGATAACCATTTCAACACTTAATAAATGAAATAATTGTTGTTCATATCTCTCAGGGGAAGAGAGAAGAACCGATAAAAGGTACTCCACCTACATATATTGAACTTTACAAATAATGTTAGGACAGTGATCCTGCCAATCGTCCAGAAACGAAAGAAATTCTTGATACTTTGAAAAAACTTAATCCTAACGAAACCTTGAGTCAACAACATACCATTACTGCATCAGCTAAAAATAGCAATAATTCTTCCTCAAGTTGTCAAGATAATCCAACTGCACCCGTAAATTCATTCGACATTACAACTTCATCTCCTCTTTATTTACCTAATACAATAAATACTATCAAAATTTTGAAACAACACAATACCCTTTCTGCATCAACTCAAAATACCGATACTTCCTCGAGTCAATATAATCCAACCACACCCATAAATTCGTTCGACATCACGACTTCGTCTCCTCTCTATTTGCCTGACATAACAAATTCAAACATTTCGACCCAAGAAGGTAACATTGTTGATATGAGAAAAAAGGAAGCCCAAGAATGTTTTGTTCATGGTGATTTTCTCAAAGCGTTGAACTTTATGAACAAATTCTCAAGAACAGTCAGCATACTGATAAAGATCAAGAAAACGCTTCATCTTGGGATCTTTCTTTTTATAAATGTTTTTGATCGTGGAAAATAACCGAATTAATAACGACACTTTACAAAAATAAAACTTAACGTTTTTAGAACTAAAATGCAATAATCTTGGATCAAAAGGTGGAAAAGCATTAGCCGATGTACTTTGCAAGAACACCACTTTAACCAATTTGGGTTTAAGTAATAATAAACTTGGATCAGTCAACTTTATAACCAGTTTTTTTAAGCAATCAGGAGCGAAAAGCATTAGTTGATACACTTTGCAAGAACTCTACCTTAACATCTTTAGATTTGCAATGGAATGATCTTGGATCAGAAAGCGGAAAAGCATTGGATGATGCACTTTGCAAGAACACTACCTTGACGTCTTTAGATCTTTACTGTAATAAACTTGGTTCAGAAGGAGGAAAAGCATTAGCTGATGCACTTTGCAAGAACACTACCTTAACATCTTAAGATCTTGAATCGAATAATCTTGGAGCAGAAGAAGGAAAAGCATTAGCTGATGCACTTTGCAAAAACACTACATTAACGTTTTTAAATTTAAGCAGGAATAATCTTGGTTCAGAAGGAGGAAAAGCATTAGCTGATGCACTTTGCAAGAACACTACCTTAACATCTTAATATCTTGAATCGAATAATCTTGGAGCAGAAGAAGGAAAAGCATTAGCTGATGCACTTTCCAAGAACACTACCTTACTGTCTTTAAATCTGTGTTCGAATAATATTGTATCAGAAGGAGGAAAAGCATTAGCTGATGCACTTTGCAAGAACACTACCTTAACGTCTTTATATTTGCAACGGAATAATCTTGGGTCAGAAGGAGGAAAAGCATTAGCTGATGCACTTGCAAGAACACTACCTTAACGTCTTTAGTCCTTGTCAATAATGATCTCAGATATGACGTCGAAAAAGTATTAGCTGATGCACTTTGCAAGAACACTACCTTAACGTATTTAAATCTCTACAGTAACAATATTGGTTTTACCGTAAAATCCAATAATCCAAATATTGTAATTTTTCAATAGTAATAGATTAAATATAAACGTTATTGTGAATATGTAATTTATTTAAGTTGTAATAATGTGAAACATAAAACAAATAAAATCAAAATTTGAACATAAGTATTGAATAAAATAAATAATTCATACGTTCAGTTAACCGTCTTCTCGTTGTAAACAGAGAGAGATTGTTATCAAAATGGAATTAGTGTTAAGAAGGATCCAAAAAATCTTTATATTAAAATACTGCCTGTACGGTAACACCAGCCAAATAAAGAGCTTTATTTTCACAATCTTTAAATTATCAATCATATTGCATAACCGAATACTACATGAAACAGGCCTTATAAATATGATAATCATGAAAATTTTGGTTTAGTGTAAAGAACAGAATGTATATTATTTCAGTATATAAACAATTTTAGGAAACTATTTTTCAAATGTCTATGTTGTAACCGAATTCGGAATTCTTAAACGGGTTGCCCCGATTGGGTATCAATTTTAGCCAATAAAATCATATGTGCGTGATTGATATTGTCGGGTAAAACCGACACCCCAAGGAACCTGAGAAGTGATCGTCATTGTGGCATACTTACCTAATTGGTGGTGCCCATGACGATCCACTTGAAACATGTGCGCACACCACCCCCTTCAATTAAAGAAAGGTCGACCTGGACCAACCTGTTCGCACTAGGAATGGACGTTGACTCCATCTACCCTACTTGGGTTAGGTGTGAGGCGATGTCAAGAGGGGTGCGATTGTAGACAATATGATGGGTTCTGGCCCCGGGATAGTAAAACTGAAACATTTCTCATCGGTTCTATGAAGACCATGTGAAATGTTAAAGTAACAAAAGGCTGTGTGAAAGGAGATAAAGGTTAGAATAAAAATGGTTAGAAAACTATGGAAACAATAAGAGTCGTGGTCTTGTGCGTGCTCTTCTCGCAGTCAATTCATTATAAAAAGGGTGGAATTTCCCCCTCCCAAAGTTCAGTTCAGCCCAGTTCGAGTGCCATATAGTTCAGAAAAGCCCATAGTTGTATTGCCCTACAAAATAATAAAAATTATTACTAATAAAGCCCCTTGAACCGTCAATACAATAAAGCTCTTTAAAAATCGTTGCACTTATCTTGTAACGCTCCTTAAAAGATCGCCTCGACATGTGCCAAATCGTAAAACCGCCTCTAGTATCTTTGAGGAACATTACGCGGCATATTCGATTCTCGAGCGACAATCTGTCGCATTTGCCCATCTCTGAACTTGACCATAAAACCTGTCACAATAGTAATGCATAGAGGTTGGAACCGGTTTTAATAATTCAGTTTATCACATGAATTTTGTGATATATTGGAGTTTATTTATTAAATTTAATCGGATAAATTTCTATAATATTACAAAAGACACGTGATAAACCTAGTGTCAGTTTTTTAAAAATCCCGCGCGGGATCTGTATGGATTCCATACGATAGCTTAAAAAATACTGAAAAGATTAAATGGGTTCCAATGGATGGAAATAATTTGCAAGAAATTGATGAGAAATTAGATTTATTTATGACAACTTGGATGAATGGTATACGAACAATTAAATATGTATCTGGAAGATATACACGATCACGCAGTGAATCGCGCATCGATCTTATAAAATTACTCAATTCTAAAGCAAATACTTCGGATGTTATAAAGAAAGTAAGTCGATTTTTCACAATGTTATTAACTTACTGCACTGAATAATATAAGATTACCAAACGATAGAGATGGGCAAATCGCGATTTTTCAAAAAATCCCGCGCGTGACGCGTGGGATTCATAAAATCTAGGTGCTGCGCGGTTGAACCTCAATTTTGGGCTGTGATCGACAAAATTTTGGCTGCATTATACATAATTTTGGCCGGAGTTTAATTTTTTAATTGTTTAAGGTTTGGGTCTGTGTAATAGTAAAATTAACTCAGGAACATATTTCACTTAGGGTTGAAAATTTCATTTTACAAATTTACAATACATGTAATTTCACATAAGTTTAGCAACATTGATTTCATGTAATTTCACGGGATATGTAGTACCTAGAGATGGGCGGGATTCATTAAACCACGAAATTTTAAACCCTAATTTCATTTAATAGGCAGCCACGTTTTCTTTACTAAAAATTCGAGTAATTTTGCCTAAATTTTTGGTCGTTGCCGTTGGTCAATCAAAATAGTGAATTTCC